GCCCCCACACAAGAAAAACAACAGAAAAAACAATAGCTGAATATTTCAGCCCGAGTCACTGAGAGACAGAAGTGTATTTGTGGTGGTGTCGCCAACAGCAAGACAAACAAACAAGATGGCAGACTTTGATCCTGAAGTGTGTGGTTTGACAGATGTGTGACTTTGATGTCAATAATACGTGCTGGCAATTTTACTGCGGTCAACGAAAGGAAAAAAAAACAAAACAAAACAAAACTCACAGCTCACCAAAACAATACCCAACTTTGTTGAGGAGGGAAAGCCGTTAATGTGGGGACGGAAAAAACCACAAGATCTGCGTGATGAATGTTTCCATCTCATAAATGTGATGCTAACAGCCTCGTCAGCTCCGCTCGCTGACGTGACCAAGTATCAACACTGGGACAGGAAACAGTGGCAGCGACTACACGGACAAAAACTGTTTTTTAAAAAATGAAATCGGGGAGAAACAGAGGATTTCATTCCTCTTAAATCATTATTGATCATAAAATTACGTGACGTCAAATCGTACTACAATAATTCTAAGGTTTATGAGACAACTACAGCAACTTTCTTTTTTCTCATAAAATTGAATGGACTACGACTAAACATTTGTATAGTGTGCAAGAAGGTGATGGTGATTCTAAAGGGTGGAAATATTGGGAAAAGAAAAATTAAATGCAGGTAGTATTTAAGCAGAGAATCAGACTGTTGGGGACCACAGACAACATATGTCAAACTCAAGGTCTGGGGGTCAAACATGGCCCACAATATCATTTTATGTGGTCCACCACAGGACATTATGTGTATGATTCTGTTAAAATAAATGTTTATCTTACAGAGACTATTTTTATGGTCACTGGAAGGGTAAAACGCGGTGCTCAAATTCTGCGCAGCGCTAGTTCACAATTCTTCTTTATTTGATTCCAGTTCTAACCAAACGTAGATGTAAATTAATTTACCAAAAAGTCAAATCTCACCTAATCTATATTTGAATTTTTGTCCCGTATCCAGGCCATGTAATAGACTGTTGAAGATGAAAACTGGTATCAGTCCGTCCGAGTCCGTAGACACAGATTTTTCTTTACTTGTTAAACAATATTTCAAATTTTCCCAACTCTGACTAAATGCGTCATGTCGGACGTGACGGCGGTGACAGCAGTCCAGCCGCAGACTGCACACATGGCCGGCTGAGCGCGGCCTGCGTCGTAAAACGCAGCTCAGGGCAAAGGCCCTGCCTGAACCTGACGTTAAAAGGCCATTTAAAATCAGAACAGTGTCTGACTACGGTGCGGCGGTGGACGCCTGACCCGGGCCTGGTCTTCTGTGAAACACTAAACTCCTCTGAGCAGCAAATGAGCTCTGACTGTTTCTTTTTATTTGATCCCATTTCATTTGCTCATGTCTTGCCTCTCTGTCATGTCTAATTACGCAGCAGTTACAAGGACCTTCACGAACGTGAACGCTCGCCGCTGGTGAAGTCTTAATCTCGGAGAACATACTTCAGGTGTGATCGGCGACACATGTTGTTCTCGTCACGTTTCCGTGCCTAGCGTCGTAGTTGCACCACTGTACGTGATTTTTCTTGGGTGGTGTGGGGGGGCTGGGGGTCCTACAGTAGACGGAGGTCCCTGTGGCCTCACTCTCATCCTCCTCACAGAGCACAGGGAGAGGTCATCACCCTCTCCCCAAACAGGAAGCCCCATCAAAAGAGGATCATGTTTCTGCACAAGTCGGTGAAGCAGAGGCAAGGCAGCGACTGGGGAGCCGCTCCTGAGCATCAGTGGCGACGAGACATTCTCTCTCTCACACACACACACACATACAGGAAAGCACACATCATTTTGCCTGAGCTCCACCGTGAACACTAAGTCTAATAAAGATTTGTGTGCACGAGGCATCCGTGGATCTAGGGAAGAGAAACGACGCCTGAGAGCGAGGGTAAACCGAGAGAGATTGTTTTCTGACTGCTAGCGCCGAGTCTCCTGACCTTTGACACAAGGCTGGAGGCCAAGACGCAGCCATTCACGGCAGTCGCCACCTCAGGATCAGGTGAGGGCTAGAGCGACTTCCTCCGCCTGAGTGAAATCCAAGTGTGATTCAGAGTTAGCTTTTTCAGTGTCAGGCACCATGAGGACGGAGGCGATCTTTGTTAGGATTATAATTAAGACCAGTTGCTTTCTTTAGGCTGGTTTATAACGGCTCGGCGTAAATATTTATTCTCGGCGGCTGGGGAGGATAAAAAATGGTGGGAGTCATAGGTTCTGTATGCTGGTTTATAGCGGCTCGGCGTAAATATTTATTCTCGGCGGCTGGGGAGGATAAAAAATGGTGGGAGTCATAGGTGGAGCTCAACAAACATCTAGGATCCAAGGGCTCACCCTGCGATGCTAACAACCCCCGAGGACCCCTGTGCCAGACTGGGCCGCAGCAGAGATCAAATACAAGGGCCCTTATGTTGCATTTATTGTCTTGGGGTCTTCCATTTTTCCTAATAAATGAGTGACAGCTTGAGGTAGGGTCTGGGTACTTTAGTAGACCCTTTGTATTTCCTCCCCCAGGTCAGAGTGGAGAGGGCTTTAACTGCGATCTAAAAAAACGTAAAAGCACGACCGTGGAGCATATCTAATTGCTTTCATATGCCGTATTATTGGTTGATTTAAATAACCACAGACATCAGGGGCACGAGGGGCCGTCGCCTTTAACCCCCGTGTGGCCCTGACCAAGACTGACTGACTGGCTCGTTGGGTCACTCCGTGACTCGGCGCCCACGACGCCTGAGCAGAGAAGACAAAAATGTGAACTTATCGCCCAATTGTCGATCTCTCGTTCACTGACTGAGATGGAATTTGTTTTCGACATATTCTGTAATGGCCGTGGTGGTTTGATGGAATAAATGATATGATGTTTGGAAAAGCTGCTGCAGGAAAATGTAGGTCTGGCAGTCGTCTTGAGTTACTGAGTCGATACGAGCTAATTTGACTAATAATTCTTAGGCCGAACGACAAAATAAATGACAATTATTCAGAGAGATAAATACCTTCGAAAGGCCCCGAAATAGTTGAGACGGGGGTGCGTTTACTCCCCCGTCACATTCCTTTTCCTTTCAAATTTGAAAATGCAAATTTGTAAGAAAGTCCTTTATCATTCTTGATGTAATAAGAGTCATAAATTGCTCAGCAGCAACCCCGACTCTTTACCTAATGAAGTATATTTTCAATAGTACACTGGTAAAGCACATGCATTCTATGTCGGAAAAGTCAGAATTCTTAGTACTATTCCCGTATTCCTGAGAAAAGTTCCTAGGAAAGATGCTACATTCACAGAAGCAAATATTTCACTAAAATGTTAATAAAAGTCTCAGCATCATTCATTTCAGTTACATCCACATACGCCAACATGGTTCTCTATTACAGGACTGAGCTCACGGTGTGATACTGGCATAACTTCAATCAAGTATTCCAAACAATAAACCCAACCACATCGCCGCGAGAAATAGTCAGGCATGCTGCGGGAAAAGGTATCTAATATCACTTTCACCACTGTCACAGTGACAGACAAAACGATGAGATCCCCTTCCACTAGGTGGCAGCATATGGGTTTAAATACTAAAAAAGATCCAGACGCAGTGCTGTTGAAGATGATTTTTGTCTCTTTCTTCAATTCCTGTGAGTATATTAGTGTTGTGTTCAACTAAACAGGCATGGGTACTGTTTACATATTAAGTATGTAAACTGTGAACTAGAAGATCATCAAAACTACAGGTTTAATACATCATAATTAAAAAATATTTTTGGGACATTTTTCTTGTGGTGCCCCATTAAAATATGTTCTGTGGGAAAGAAAAATCGTTTGGGAAAAAAAATAGCCAACTTACCAGTTAGATCTCTCTTTAGTTTTCTGATGTCCTTAGTGAGGTCATCAAACCTAACTTGACTAGCCTGGAAGAAATCCTGAGGTTCCGGCAGAGGAAACGTACTCTTTTCGGTACCGGCATGCTGCAACAAACAAAAGGAACATTAGAGTGAAGGATGGCTGAGAGAAACTGCTAGAACGGTACAAACGAGTATCCTTTGTTCGTGGTTTGTCGTACCTTGTCGAAGTTGCGTAGGTAGTACAATACTACGTAATCTATCAAATTCATACGATTGTCCTGAGAGGGAAGAGGAAGATGATTTCAAAATAAGCTTTACGTTGTGTTTTCTTATTGATTACTGACATCGTGGCAGTTGTTATGTCGTTGTACGTCACCCTGCTCTTGACATCCTTCAGTTTGGGAAGGATCTCCAGTCCAAACCCATCAGCCTGACCCCTCGTCCTGTTCCCACCGTTCATATAGTTCCCAAAGGCCAGAACCAGACCCATGACATCCTTCAGACTGCTGCACTGCAGCAGCTCCTGAAACAGACACACACTGTTGTGTACCAACTCTGCATTCTTCAGGGACACGTGACGAGCTGCCCGTTGACGGGATTACGATCTTACTTTGCACAGATCAGAGACGATCACCACTTTACGACGAATGGAAGCGATCATATCGAGGAACACCGACTGGAAAATGATACAGTTGGCCCGACCTGCGAAGTCAGGAATCTGCGAGAGCTCGTAGAGAAACCTGGACGACAGAAGTGAAGGGGAAACAGAGAGACACAGTGGTGCCATGTGTTATGACAATGGAAGAACTATTTTCAGGCCTTGGCAGGATTTAGCTGTCCGGGGTTAAAGCCGGTGTGCACAGGCAGGCAGGCAGGGGGAGCTGATAGTCATGAGCGGCCCTGCTTGGCTGATTTTGAAAGGTCCGCAGCATAGGGTGGAGGGAAAGCAGTGGACGGCGTACAGAGACCTGATCAAAGGTAGCTCCATCCTGACGGAGCATGACTTATGTAAACAGTGCCGTACTGGAGGGGAGCCGAGCGGTAACATCCTGTGTGATTAGGCGCTAGACACTGAGTAAGGATGACTCAGCTTCAGTGACAGCTCTGGTCAAACATGGAAATAAGAATGGCAGGACTGCTGGGTCCAAGCCTCGTTAACTGGACCAAACTACTAATCCCTCACAGGAAGCGTTGAAGCAGTGATCATTTGTAATCCCTTGATAGGGTAAATAAATTATATTGGGGAATCTAAACAGAAAATAGAAAATAAATCCAAAAATGTGGCTGCTCCTGTCATACTGCAATTATCTTATCATTTAGCCTGTCGTCTTGGGCCGTAGGAAGTACAGCATGTACTGTATGGTGTTAACATACAACACATACGATCCAGCTGCTGGCAGTCGTTCAGCCCAGTCTGCAAGCTTTGACTTTTGTGTTTCTGCCAACAACAAAATGTTCTCTGTGAATAATGAGATTCTCAGGTTTTCTGAGGTCAGTATACAAGTAAAAAAAAGTCTTAAAGTCAGTGATTCATGATCAAAACTAGTTGCGTGAGGGGTCCAGCTCCAGTGTTGAACAGGTGATCACCTCTCACCGTACCCACCGAGCCGACACGACCAAACACCAGCCTGCACACTGTGACTGGATCTAGCATTTTTGGCACGTTTCCAAGGCTTAATGAAAGTGTTTGTTTTTGAGGGAAACATTATTATTTTCACCGCACTTCATTGTTACCGCAAAAGACCAGATAATGTACCACTGACGATTATCCAATTTAAGTTAATTAGCCTCAAATCGGCCGGCCAGTACTGGCCATTACTGGCCATTACTGCGGAACGGTTCACCAGGCCGATCGTTGAAGAATCATTACATTTTCAAATGAAAACATTCTTTAGATGTTATTCTGTTAGTATCAGAGTATGTTTTTAAAATATTACCTGATTATTTTTAATGAAGAAAGTAAATAGATGAGACTGGATTCTTTTTGAATTAAGTTATTTAGTAAAAATAAAGTACATTTTTTTTCACTGTGTACCACAGTGGCTCAGTAACCAAATGAACTACGGACCCATACTGGTCCACGGACTGGGGGTTGAGAACCCCTGCTCTATGTGACAGAACAATTAAATAATCTACCACTACGTGGCAGACGATGGTTATAAAAACTTTAAAAAAAGAGAGATTTGGAGTTGTTGAGGATTTTCTTCAATTCCTGGCCATAGGACTGTGTTGTGTTCAACTAAACAGGTGGTTCACACCTAGTAAGTCCTAAAAGATCCTTTAGTTTATCGTTTGGTGTCATTAAAGTATTATATTTGTTTTTCACTTGGAAACTTAGAAAATAATTCCGTATGCCCAAACAACCACCTACTAAAAAAAAAAGAATCCTCATGAACTTGGAAACACTCTTACTGTTCAGGTTTGTCCAACAGTTTGACTTCGTCCTCTTTCGCCGTCTCGTAGTGTTTCGTTATTCTCTCCATTTCATCAGCGGTGGCTCTCTGTCAAGAAACAGACGAAACGGCTCATAATCAAAGTGTTTACACAGACGGGAAACAACAGAACGGAAGATTACTCTGCAGGTACCGACCCTGATAGGAATAACATTTTTTCTACTGACAGGGCGCCAAAAAAGTGTTCTCTGCAGCGAGGTCAAAACAAGAGAGATTTATCTACTTGTTGGAGAGCGTTTGAGTCAGGACGTCATAATCATCACACCATACTCACATTTTCATATAAAGCTTCGATGGTCTCCAAATCCACCACAGAGTTGTCCACGGTAAGAACAGCTGGAACAATAAGAGTATTTATTACAAACAGTCAGACACTTTTATAAATGGAGGACTGTGGGCGAAGTGGGTCGTGTTTTTAAGTATTCAACTTCTCAAACCATAAGCTTTGTTTTTTTTTCTGACTTCAGTTATAAACTTTATAATAACTGTGCCCAGTAATTTTGTTGATTATTGGTTTGTGGAACTTCATGTTTGATGTTTGGCAATGGAATGTAGAAAAACTATAAAAAAAAAAAATTGGAGTAATTGTCGGACCAGAACAGAAAAGCCGTACGTGACTCAAATCTGTCTGCTTCTGTTGTCCGTTCGCATTTCACCCCGTGATGGAAAAATAAACTTTAGTGTGGAATAATATCCTAATGTGGTGAGGCTGGAAGTGTTGCTAGGCAGTGCAGGCAGAGACATTTGGACTGGAATGGAATCACAGACAACTCTGATCTATCACTGCGCTCTGTGAGGAAGAAGACGGCGCTGAAATCACGCAGCGTAACAAACGCTCAACCGCCAGAAACCATATTTAGAAAAATCGCAGTTGAGGAGAAGTAAGGCGGGTGAGGAACAAAGGGAGGACACAGAGGTCAAAGGAAAAAAGGAGATAAAAAAGGAGAGGAGGAGGGTAAATAAACACCAGTAGAAATCTCACACACAAAATAGACTTTTATTACAAGCCCTGTTTGTTTAGTGTGTCCCCACGCAGTAAAAACCAAAGTGCACACGCCAGGCAGAAGACAGCGGAAGGCACAGGGGGAGAAAGTGACTCCTGCTCTGTGTCTCAGAGATGTCACAGGTTAACGACTTCACGGGGGAGGAAGAGGGGAGGGATGGCTCCAGAGCTCCTGGATCAGCTGACACTGGTCTGGTCGGTGTCAGACTAAGATATTAAGAAGCTAGAACGGAAGTACTGACAACCACTCTTCAAAAGTGGGACGAAATGTATAGAGAGAAATAGATACATTTCTTAAAAATATATATTTCTATATATATTTCTATATATACTCAGCATATTTGCTAACATTAGCGCAAATAATAAAAAAAGAAAGAAATGGCCATAAAGTCACTAAGTGATTGCTCATGTCAAGTGTAAGGCCCGAGAAAATGAATTTTCTAATTAGTGCGACTGCATGACCGAGACATAAGTGAAACTGGAAACTGAGGCTAAGGTTAAAACAGTAAAACACTGTGTGGGAGAAACACAATTACAGCCTGTGGGACATGAATCACTGGAACTACTGGTCACACTAGAACAGCAGCTCATAAAACACTGTGTTTGTTCATTTGCAAATGGCTCAAATTTATTGTCAATGAAGTGTACAACTAATTATTCTTCTGAAGAAAATATATATATATACATAAATACCGTATATAAATACATACATACATATATGTATATATATTCACATATATATACATATATACACATATATAAATATATACACATATATACATACATACATATATAAACATATATGCATACATGCACATATATATACATACATACATATATACATATATACATACATACATATATTCATATATGATTATCAGCAGAGGTGACCCCTCCCACATTTTTTAATAATTTGATTATGTATTTATATTTTATGTTTATATAATTATATATTTTAAATTAGATATGTTTTACTCATTTACGCCTGTATATTTTTATATGTTTATATTTAACTTGTAATCACCTATATAGTTTTCATTATTTATTATGCCTACATGTTTTATTTGAATACTGTTTTATGTACTTTTGTTGTATTAAGTGTGGACTTAATGGGAATAAAAAGGGTTTTTGAGGTGATGGTATCTAGGGTTTAGATACTAACAAACTCAGATCTAAGACATTTGATCACCAACTGAAGGCCCGCAGACCCAATCTGGCCCAGGACTGGATTTCAAAATAAACATCAAACAATACTGTTGGACAAAAATGTGATTTTGATTTCATTTTATTTGAGTGTTCGACCCCAAAGTGTCTGTCTAGAAGAAATTAGGGCCCTTCAACAAAAACAGTCGGTGACCCCTGATATAGAGCCTTGCATTATCGTCTTCTGTCCATGTATAAATGTCACTGGGTTAAAGATGTCTTACTTTCATTATGATAAAAAAAAAAAAAAAACCGGGATGTGACCCAA